ACCTCTGCATGACGTAGTTTCCCTCTTTATACAACCCTGCTGGAGCTCCCTACTCTTATGAACCTCACAGGTTTGAGGAAAATAGGGCCCTGCTTAGGCAGAAGCGCTGAAAGCAAACCGGGTCCTTATTCACATAGCCCTCGGGCTGAAATTTATCAGTAGCCCCTGCTCAGGTGGGCAGGTTAGCAGCCAGCCTGATGTTCCTGCTGGGGCTCTGACCACAGGAGTCTCCCAGGAGCATGGCTTTGCTTTCTGTCCCTGAGAGGTGTTACCACCGACTTGCCTCTGGAAGGCTCCATTTGCACATGGTATAGGGTGCACCCCGTAGTAGTCCTTGTTCGGTTTCCCCTGTGGTGACAGACGCGCATGAGTTGCCTGCTTTGCTTGCCTCCCAAACTGGGGTGTAACCTGGGCTGCTTCCGTACACACTGTAAAGGGGGTAATTTATGACTGGGTAGGAGACTCATTGAGAGGGAGCTTCCGATAGCAGTGACAGTGGTGACACAATGACCATTCATTCATCCCACGGCTCTGCTCAAGCAGTCACTGAGTGCCCAGGTCAAGCTCTGTACCATGCACCAGGGATGCAGCAGTGCCGAACTGGGAGGCCCTGCCCTCTTGGAGAGCACAGTGTCTGCATGCAATAGGCAATATATAAGTTCAAGTCAAAAGGGAATGGATAACTGGTGGTCAGAAGAGTGAAGAAAACAGGGCGCCTGACTGGAGGAGGCCTGGTTTGGATGGGGTTGGGGAGGCAGGAAAGATCTCTGAGGAAGGGACATTTCCACGGAGACATGAGGAATGGAGAAAAGGAGGTAGCCTGAAGAAGAACCTTTTAGGTGGAGGGGCCAGTAGGTCTGAGGAAGAAAGTTCTAAGCTTGTCCTTGGGTTTGGAAAGAGGGCTGCTGTGTCTGAGCAAGGGGGCCAGGAAGAGTGTGCTTGGGGGTGAAGTGGGAGAGGGAGGCAGGACAGAAGGTAAAGGGCTTGGCAGTGGTAAGGAGTTTGACTCTTTGAAGTATTTGTCTTTTGTTGCTTTCTGGTTGGGGATGGGACCCATGCCTGGGTGGTGTCCTGGCCCAGTTTGCGAGAAGAGAGGGGCGGGTGCACCCTTCAGGGCTGAAACCAGAGGCTGAAGGAGAGCCTCAGGGGCCTCTCCATGCCCAAAAGCTGCTAGACAGACATATTGATTGGCAAACTCTGGGTGGGGTTCGGGTTCAGACTGAACAAGACCGAAGGGCAAAGTGCAGACATCATTTGCAGTACCGAGGAAAACAAGGTAATAACATACGGAGTCTGGGACGTGCAGAACCAGCTGGGTGGAGATCAGGGTAAAACTGAAGTGTACTGGGAAGTCCTGGGAGAAGGGGAATGTAGCCTTGTATTAGCATGCTAATTGAAAAAAAAAAAAAAAGAATACTCATAATCCGGTGCCCAGATTCTTGCTTTGTGTACAAAGAAACCCAGGGGGTACTGCAAGTTCAAGGTCACACTAGCCTGGCCTGACAAGTTTTCTGAATTCAGAACTGACAAGGATCTACCAACCTGCTGGTCAATAGAATTTGGATTTCTTATTCGTGAAGATCATTAAAGAAAGAAAGGTCAGGGAACTTTTCATTGCCTGGTGAATAGTTGGATAATCGGTGCTTCTAGGTCTTGAATGGAGGACAGGGAGCAGGTGGAATGGGGGAAAGGCTCCCCAAGGGGGTGGGTCTGTGCTGAGAGGTAAGGAGGAGTTGGGAAGGAAGCTACTTGCAAAGGTGGGCATTCTGGGCCTCGAAGGAGACTACAGCAGAAAAAATAAGGCTTTGGGAAGCTGGGAGCATGGACAAGGGTTTTCCCTAAGAAGGTTGGAGGGGTGGAGCAGGGCCCTCCCTGACATGCCCTCCGTGGTGTCTTCCAGGCCCAGAGGCTGCTGGCCCAGAGGAGGCCCCAGCGGCCCTTCTTGGAATCCTTCATCCGGGCCCTCATCATTGTGTGTGCTGCCCTGGCCTTGGTCCTCTCCTCCATCTCCATCTGTGATGGCCACTGGCTGCTGGCTGAGGACCGCCTCTTCGGGCTCTGGCACTTCTGCACTTCGTCCAACCAGACAGGGACACACTGTCTCAGAGACCTGAGTCAGGCCCATGTGCCTGGGCTGGCCGTGGGCATGGTCCTGGCCCGCAGTGTGGGCGCCTTGGCCGTGGTGGCCGCCATTTTGGGCCTAGAGCTCCTCATGGTGTCCCAGGTGTGTGAGGACCTCCACTCACGGCGCAAGTGGGCCATGGGTTCTGTCGTCCTCCTCATTTCCTTCGTCCTCTCCTCCGGGGGGCTCCTGAGTTTCGTGATCCTCCTCTGGAACCACGTCACGTTCACTGGCTTCACCCTGATGTTCTGGTGCGAGTTCACGGCCTCCTTCCTCTTCTTTCTGAATGCCATCAGTGGCCTTCACATCAACAGCATCACCCATCCCTGGGGCCAACCAAGGAAATTGTAGGCCCCCCTCCCAAATCCGAGGACATCAGGTTCTACGAGAAAGTGTGGTCAAGATGGGACGTTTCCAACACGTGACCTCTGGGGGGGGGAAGGGTGGGGCAATGACCTTGAAACTGCTGCCTCTCAGCCAGTAACCTTTGGGTGGTTGGCCAGATTCAGCCCAGCGGCCTTTGCAGCTGGCCTGCGGGGCCAGAGGCGAGGAGGGTGCTTCAGTGCCACCAGCTTAGCCCAGTTATTAGGATGTTGATTTTAGGAGAAGTAACACGTTTTAAAACCCTTTTCTTGAATCCTTCTTTTAAAAAATCCTTTCTTGAATCCTTCCAGGATGGGAATAGATTTGGAAGCAGAGTGTGTAACGGTGTCTGAGCTGGCTGCACAGCTAAGTGCAGCTCCCAGTTTTATTGACTCTGTGCCAGGATAGGGGCTGTGGGGCCCCTGGGGTCTCCTGGGATTGCCCAGAGTGGATCATTCCTCCAGCAAAGCATATCCAGTCAGTGCCTCGGACTTTTCTTCCACCAGCTCAAAGGGCCTTTATGGGCACATTTCCCTGCTATAGCTTCAGTCATGCTAGGGAGGCAGAATTCAGGATTCCCTCAATTTCTTCCACATGCTAGGTTTTCAAAACATTTGACTCGATTTGAACCCTGCCCTTTGGTGTGTGTTGGGGGGGTGGTACATAATTCTTGAATAACTGCAACTTCCCGCAGCCGGCTGTCCTGTCTGGGAATCCTGCCTGAACCCTTCCAGCAAGCTTCTCAGGACAGCCCTCCAGCCGAATACACAGTCCTCCCGAGGCGAGCGTGCGTGTGTGCGCGCGCGTCCGGCTTTGATAAGGGTCAAGACGGCCTCGGGTACCACTTTTGATTCTAGAGCACATTTCCAAAGAGTGCATATCTGGACCTGCGCAACTCCAGGGGGGTCAAGGGGCCTTGCCAGGCCTTGAGTAATGATTAACAGCCATCCTGGGGATGAGTGCAGGTGAAGGGGACCAGGAACCAGTGGAGATTTCCATCCTTGCCAGCAGATGTGCATTTCTGGGGAACCAGTTGCCCCCTTCCCAGTGTCTTTTCTGCCCCAGAGCTGGGGGATTTGCCCTCAAGCCATTTCATTCCACACTAACCCCTTCCCTCTCCACCGGCTCCACTCTAGCTGCTTCTGGTGTGGGTTTTTGGTCTCTGCCCCGCCCTGGTCACTGCAGGCTCCCCTTTCTGGGCTGGGCTGGGTGCTTCTCTCTCTCTCTCGTGGGTTTTTAAAAAACTTGGACTCCAAAATGTATATGGAGTCCATGGAGATCACTGAAGAAAGGTGTCATGGGCCAACCTGTTTTTCAGAGAACAGAGCTCATCAACCAGACGGGCTGGGTTCTCAGCCCTGGGAAATAGGCACCTGACCTTTCATTCCAGGAGCCATTCACCTGGCACAAAGGGGTGTGACCTTGTCTCTGCAGTGGGGAGGTGCAGAGGTGGGAAGCCAGGGCCCAGAGGGGGGCAGCACTTGTCCAGGGTCACCCACCAGCAAGATGCCTTCTCCTCTATGTTGTGGCTTCTGTCCAGAATGCTTCCCCCCACCACCGAAAACACTGGTAGGCTTCGTTTTATAAAAGGGTTTAAATGTTCAGTTCACTTTAATCCTCACATGGCTGGTGGTGAGGGAGTGCTTACGGTCAAGGGAACTGAGATCCAGAGAATAAAGGGGAGACAGATCCCCATAAAACAGGGAGACAGGCCCCTGTCCGGTGCCCAGGAGTGAAGAAACAGATGCAGCCTTAGCGCATGGGGATTTGAAACCAAAAGCTTTGGACTGAACTCATGCCCCTTCTTGCAGAGTATCTTGGGCAAGTCACGGCACCTTGGTGAACCTGTTTCTCTTTTCTGTCCCACGGAATCTATGCCCCATTCCCAGCTGCTGTGCCCCCAGGGCTGTAGGTAACTGCAAGCAGGAGGAACAGAGGGGTGCCTTGTGCCACGCGAGGGTTACTAAGGAAGCTGGGGGTCTTGGGGTTCTCTTGGCCTCACTGACTTGGTCAGATGAATTCAGTCGTCTTGAAGCTGTAGGGTCAGATCTGCCGGGCAGGTGAGTTGTAGTGAGGCATAGGGAGGGTCCACCCACGGCCAAGGGTCTCCATTTCTCCTGTTTCAGGGGCTTCAAACTTAACCCTGGAAACTCCAGGAAGGGGTAGGGAAGTGAGAGGGAGCGGTCCTCCTTCACCTTATGTCTCGAGGGCCAAAACGAGTGGGTAGTTATAGACCAAACCCATCCCAGCTGCCATTTACTTCCCTGTCCTCTTCTGGAGCCCCTGACCCAGGCCCTCTTCCTGCCCCATGGTCCCCCCATTATTTTCAGTTCTGAGGAACCTCTCACCAGAGCCCCCTCCCCATCCCAAGGCTCAGAGGAGGGGGGTTGTTGGTCACAGGAGGAAGCAGATGATGTCTGCTGAGAAGACGGGTCTGGGACTGTCCCGCAGCAGTGTCTGGCCTTCTCATGACCCGTCTCGGTGTCTGTCCCATGGGTGGCCCTGCTCCAGACTCTCAGATGACACTGGCCCTGCAGGTGGCCCCGCTCTGCTCCGAGGTGCTGGCCTTGGTGCTGTGGGCAAGACCGCTGGTGCCGTTGCTGAAGGAGGAGCTGAGGGCCACGGGGCGCAGTAGGGACTCACGGAGGTGCCACTGCCGCCACTTCTTCTGAACCTCCAGCTGCACCTGGCCCAGAGACCAGTCGTCAGCCGGGCAGACGGGCACCTGGTGCCCACAGGCCCGTTCACTCGCCCGGGACCTCGGCATGCGCCCTGCTTCTGCTGCCCAGGGGTCCTGCCTCCCCCTCTCCCTCAGGCCACTCAGTGGCTAGGGAGCTCCTCCATCGGGGCAGCCAAGAACACTCACCTCCCCATTGAGGAAGCAGTAGAGGACCGCCACCACCAGGCCCTGCAGAGGGGCAGAGCAGTAAGGGGTCAGTGCAGGTGCTCCGGCACCCGGCCTCCTTCCTCCAACCTCCTCCCCATGTCCTTAATTGCCAGCCCCAGGCTCACTTCTCCCCAGGAAGTGCTCCAGAGCCTTCCCACACCTCTCACCCCTGGGGAGGGTGGTGGTGGTGGGGGACTGGGGCTACCTCTTCTGGGGTCCCCACAGTGCCCCCTGGCTGTGCCAGCATCATCTGGCACAGACTCAGCTCCTTGGGGCAGGGCTAGGGTCCAGCGTGGGGCATTACACACATGGGATTTCAGAGTAGAAGCTGCTAACTTGGGCCAGTGGGGATGGGGCAAGTCCCCTGAATTAGTAAGGTGGGCCATCTGGGAGAAGCAGGGAGTGGCAGCCCCTGATGTGCACCTGTCCCTCAGGTAGGGGGTGGGGCCAGCCCCTGGGAGACCCTGTGCCCTGTGTGGGTGGGCTCATTTTCAAGATAAGCTGGAAATGGCGATGTTCTAACATGGGCAACCATTCAAACTGAAACACGAACGTGTGAGCGTGAGGTCAGCACAAAGCCCGAGTGTAGGTCCTGGCCAGCAAGCAGTGGGGTGTGACTTCCTGCTTATATCACCTTGGCTAGGGGCTGTGAGGCTCTATACACATTATGTTCCCTGGTGGGGTGGGGGTTGGTGCCTGTGAGGACCCTCCTTCCCTAGTATCTGGAGCTCCTGTTTTCCCAGGGGTGCCTCCCCCTGCCCCCCAATCCTGGCATGGAGCTTTGCCAGGGCAGGGACTCCAGTCTCGAGATGTAGGATTTGAGGCCCAGAGGCCTGCTTGGGACCATAAGCTACGGGCAGGGTCTCTTCAGTGCTTATGTCCTGCTCACCTCCTCAGGGATCCGCCTTGGGCCAGCCTGCCTTTCCTTCTGCCGTGAGGCTTCCCAGGCTGGTGAGCACCCTCCCCCTCAGAGGCCTTGGTGTCCTAGCTCTGACCTCAGGGGGGCCCTAACGCCCCTTCCGAGTCCCATCCAGGCCTGCCCTGACCTACTTATTTGGAAAAGACCCCAAAGAATGATGAACCAGCCCTGCTGTGGTGGGTTTAATAAGTACAATTGCTCAGGGCTGCCGTCGTTTTAACAAGAGTTAGTGACAGACCTGGAAGAATTTGCTTTAGAGTATCGGGCACTGAGGACCGCTACCCAGAATGGGGATCATTTGGAGGTGGGGGGCTGGAATGGTTACTCAAGGCCGCAGTTTCCAGATTTTGTAGCACATTAGAATCACCTGGGAGCGGTTGCCTATGTTACACTCCATACCCCAAGGCCAAATGTTTGAGGATGATGGAAGCGGCAGCAGCTTTAAAAAATCCCAGGTGGTTCTAATGGGCATTCCCAGGTGGGAACCACTGTTGGAGGGTGTGAAGGGCTTAGAGATGAAACAGAACAGGATGCGGCGTGCCGCCTGGCCTGCTCCTGCTTACTTGTGGGGTGCTGGGTCCCAGATGCTTCATTTAATCCTTGCCAAAGCCCTAGCAGGGAGGAGCCCTGTCTCCCCTGGGGAGGAACTGAGTCAGTCACAGGGGGTTTCGGCAGCACTGGCGCTGTGTGTGATTGGCCCAGAGCTGGTGGTCAGGCTGCTGGCTGTGGGGGCTGCCCATCTCACTGGGCCCAGCGGTGCCTGTGCCTCCAAGATCCTGGGACACATCTGCGAGTTCAGGTGAGGGCAGGAGCCCCAAGGGAGGGAAAGTTAATCATGCCCCAAATATCAATAGGGCAGGCCTCCCGCAGCCAGCAAGTTTAAGAAATTCCACAGTCTTTATACAATCATAAAGATGAAGTCTTGGAAGAATTTTAATGACGTGGAGAAAGGTTCACAACAGGTGAGACAGAGAATTCGAACAAGCAAGTTAGAAAACCACACACAGCATGACCTCAATTATATGGGCTGTGTGTACGTGTGTGTCTTCCCGGATAGAAGAGAGACTTAAAAAGAAAAAAAGGAGAGAGAGACTTAGAAGTAAACCCATCATCATTTTAACAGGTAATTTCTGGGGTCATGAGATTATGGATGATTTTTTTTTTCTTTTTTAGCTTTTCCTTATTTTCCAGATTTTCTACAATAAGTGTTATTTCTACAATCAGAAAAAGCAAATCAACTTTCGTTTCTAGAAGTCTATGACTGATAATGTATTTGTGGTTCTGTGTGTCTTTAAGCCCCTGTCTTCTAGAGATTCGGTACTGGAATATTTACATTTGAGTAAAACCATCCCTTTGATGTGCTTAAAATGATGGGGGGTGGGGTGAAGGGAGAGGATGGTGACAGAGATGGAACCAGCCAGGACTTGAGTGGGCAGTGGTCACATGGGGGTTCACTATCTACTATTCTCTTCACTTTAATATATGGGAGACATTTTCTATAATGCAGAATTTTTAAAAATATGTACATTATATAGAATATACATGTGTAATATACAATAAAATGATATATGTTTGTATGTGAACAAAGGTTTAAAAGCCTCAAAGATCCGTTTTCTGTGTAAACATTTCTATGGGAACATTAGGAAAGCGCTTTTGGTTTTCTCTTGACAAGCCATTTCCTTAGAAGCCGAATGGCCTTCCCTGGCAGGCCTGGGCCCCAACCACAAGCCCCAACTCCAGGGGACAGGAAGTTCCCTTTCTATGCAGGGAGGCAGACCTGGGTCTCCGTGATCTAAGTGAGGTCACTACCCATTTCTGGAAGCCAGGTCGAGGTCTTCCGCCCCTGTGGACTTGGAATGCCCACCCTTGCTAAATGCGCCATTGTGGGGGCGCCTGGGTGGCTCAGTCGTTAAGTGTCTGCCTTCGGCTCAGGTCATGATCCCAGGGTCTTGGGTTCGAGCCCCACATCGGGCTCCCTGCTCCGCGGGAAGCCTGCTTCTCCCTCTCCCACTCCCCCTGCTTGTGTTCCCTCTCTCGCTGTGTCTCTCTCTGTTAAATAAATAAAAATCTTTAAAAACAAAAACAAAAAAAATAAAATAAATGCGTCATTGTGTGAGCCCAGCCTCCCCACACGTTACAAGAGCAGGTGGGCATGAAAGCTCCCGGGTCCAGAAACAAAGAACATGGATTATGCAAGAGGCTATGTTCTCTGGAGGCCCGGGTGCTGGCAGGGAGCGCTGGGCAGAGGAGAGAGGCCCAGTGAGGAGAGAGGGGACAGCCCTGGGGTAGGGTCTGAAGGCAGGGTTAGGACAAGACCGGACACTGCTCAAGAATGTGTTCCCAGTGATGTGTCCTTCCTGGAACCTGAAAGTGACAGGAGGGTGACCCTGACCCCCCAACCCTGAACCGAACTCAGGGACTGAGGGAGACTCTGAGCCCCATCCTGAGACCGAAGTCTCCCCCCGTGAGGAGGACTTTGCAGGACAATCAGTGTTGTTAAGGACAGGCTGGCTTCTTGAGGAAGATCCCCTGGGAGAAATTTCTCTCAGTCCCCAAAGCCTATAATGTCTAGGCTTTTCCCGAGAATTAGCTTGTCCCCATCTATAGATATTATAAATCTTGGAACAGATTGCGTTTCTTCTGTCTTTGCTTTGGCTACTGGGGAGCTCCAAACCAAATGTCTGACCCATCTCTCCTACCTTCATAGCACCCTATTGAATTTGCTTCTCTTTATGAACTCAATTTTGACTTTTATTTTATTTTTTCACTGATCCTTCATCTACTTTTTTTTTTTTTTTTTTGTCCTCTGTATGGTCTTCCTGAAAGCTACGCCATATTATTTTTGGAAGGAGACAGTTATGAGAGTGTAAACAAGAGGGCTGTCCAAACATGTTTACTATTTGGTTTTTGTTGTTGTTGTTGTTGTTTTTACTATTTGTTTTTTAAGCCTCACAAGATCTCACTGAATTAGGAGGTAGGTGATTTCTCCCCTCACTCTCCTTTTTTTTAAAGCTGGTTTTTATTTTTGATACATTGTGTGTGCACATAGTTTCAAAGAGTCCAGTGATTCTCCTCACAAAACAAGAGCAACCTCGGAACACCCCTGCCCCCATTTCCTGTGCCTCAGAGGCAACTACTTGGAATTCTCTTTGCTGCTTCTGAATAATATGCTGATGCTGCACCTTCTGGATTTTTCAGTTTGGGGCACTTTCATGGACTTCCCAGAATGAAGAGGAGGACTTTATTCTCTTTCAGACACCCACCCTCCCCCATTCCCACAATGCTCATCTTCCTGCCCTGCTTTTTGATGGCTCAGCCACAGCCCTCAGCTAGCGTCATTTTGACTATGTATGTATCCTTTTGTCTTCCCTGGAGTCAGTCTCTCTCCTTAGTTTTACCTCCCACCCCTATCTGACCGGTGGGGGGACTTGGGTCCCACTCGGGGTCCCACAGCACAGTGAGGTCCTGCCTACCTCCTCTTGGGCGTGTGCCTAATGAGGCATCCCACACTGCGCGGCTGGACCCTTCCGGGGAGACCCAGCTTGCTGTCCCTATGAACTCCCAAGGGTCATAATCCCTGAAGCTTACCTGGAACGACCCAAGGGCCAATTCAAAGAACCACTGGACCTCAATGGCGTCCTCTGGGGAGAAGGCGAAGATGATGTAGTGGACTCCAAAGAGGGGGATCAGCAGGAGGGTGGACTTGGCCAGGCGCCTGCAGACACAGATCCACTGGTGTCCTGCCCCCTCCCCACAGGCACGACTCTGCAAGCCCCAACCTGTCAGATTGCAGAGGCCTGCAGCAGTGCCCCCAAACCTTTGTGGTTTTACTTTTTATTTTGGAGAATTTCCAACTCCCACGTACCCATCACCCAGGGCCAGTCCTCTAAACTTTCTGATCATGCACCCCATCAGGAAAAAAAAAATGTGAACACGTATCCACCCAAATAACTTTATTATTTATAAATTACGTGTGTGTGTCATTGAACCTATTATTTACGAAACCAGCGTTCTTATTTTTTTGATAATAAATATCTATAAGGAGAAGTTCTTTCATTTTCTTCCCAGATCCCAGATTAGGGTTGCTAAATTTAGCAAATAAAAATACAGGATGCCCAGTTCAATTTGAATTTCAGATAAACAAGGAATAATATTTTTGAGGAGTAAGCGCTAAAACACTATTTGTCGTTTATCCCAAATTCAGACTGAACTGGGCATCCTCTATTTTTTTAATCTGGCAACTTTATCCTGGATTCCCCAGCTCCACCCTACTGTGGTGCCCACTACCCTAAGATGTCCTGGAGAATCTGTCACCAGGCAATCCAGGTCACTGCCAGATTCTCAAAGCCCAGAACATCACAGAGGAAGTCTTCGTCGGACACTGATTTGCCTTTAACGATTCTGTTGTGAATTGTGTCTCCCCCGCCCAGATTCACCCACTGAAGCCCTCACCGCAGGACCTCAGAAATACTTATCTGTATTTGCAGGTAGGGCCTGTAAAAAGATGACTAAGGTAAAATGAGGTCATTAGGGTGGGACCTTAGTCCAATCACCTGGTGTCCTTATAAGAAGAGGAGGAGGCACCCAGAACAAAAGGCCAGGTAAGGGCAGCCATCTACAAGGCCAGGAGCGAGGTCTCAGAAGAAATCAAACCTGTGGGCACCTGGATCTTGGGTTTCCAGCCTCCGGAACTCCGAGTAAATAAATTTCTCTTCTTTATACCGTCCCATGTGTGGTTATTTTGCTATGGGGGCCCTATCAAGCTAATACAGCATCTCCCTTTAACATCTTAAAGGTTTTAAAGTATTTTTGGATTGCACATCTTGAAAATCAGATGAAAGCTAGAGCCTTTCTCCCCTGAAAAATACACAGACCTATACACATTTCTCTGAATTTGGGTCCCTGAAGCTCATTGGCAGACTCCCTAACGCTGCCCCAAACACAGATTTCTGCTTCCTGGGATCCTGAGAGATTTCTTTATCTTTCCACTGCTGGAGCTGCGTCTAAGGCTTCCCAGTGGACCCACTTCTCCCCACCCCCATTCCCAATTGCATCAAAACCTCCTTGGAACCAGGGCCAGTTGGGTAAACCGTAGGCACTCTGTAAATACCTGTTGACTGACTGACTGACCGTGCCTGGGTCTTTGCCCTCCACTTACTTATAATGGCTCACTTCATTTCCTCTTGTTTCTTGGGTTCTAAGTTTTCTCATCAGGATTCTTAGAATGTTTATAAAAAGGATGAAGTTAATCTGTAAAACACAAGAGGGGGGTGTGGGCTGAAGGTGATTGCCACCTCTCCTGGCCTTGACCCCTTGGCCCTGAGGGCAGAGAAAGCATTGCAGACCACACCCAGGATTGCAGGTCTCTGAGCCACCCCGCCCGGCCTGCCGCCCCAGAGTCCCAGTGTAACAGGCTGTCTGGAGGTGATGGCTGACGCAGCACCCGCGCCTGTCCCTGGCTGCAGGAGCTCTAAGGTCTGCTCAGTTGTGGCAGGGATTCCTCACACTGGAATGCATTGGCATTCCCCAGCGACCTTGTTAAAAGGCAGGTCACCGGTGACCTGAGATGCTGCATTTTTTTCTTAAGATTTTATTTATTTATTTGCCAGAGAGAGAGAGAGAGAGAGAGAGCACAAGCAGGGGGAGCGGCAGGCAGAGAGAGAAGCAGGCTCCCAGCTGAGCAAGGACCCTGATGCGGGGCTCGATCCCAGGACCCCGGGATCACGACCTGAGCCAAAGGCAGACGCTTAACCAACTGAGCCACCCAGGCATCCCAAGAGTCTGCACTTCTGTCCTTGGCTACACTTTGAGTGGCAAGGCTTTCTTCTCTGAGAGGTTCTTAAAGTTTTGGGTGCGCATTGGGGGGCTGCCTCCCCCAGAAGTTCCGGGTCAGTAAATCTGGGGTGGGGCCGCTAAATTTGCATTTTTTAATAAGCTTCCAGGTGCTGCTGAAGCTGCTGGTCTGGGGACCACACTTTGAGAACCACTGTTTCAAAGCCTTATAGAGTCGCTTTGCAGTTTAATCACCAACTCCAGGAAGCCACCCTTGATTACCTATCTTTCCTGCTACATTGCAGTTAGGGATCATGTTACTGTGAAGCACTTGAAATATTTGAAAGAGGCCGAACACATGCACCTGTCAAAGTTGTGTGTGTCTACTTACCTGTCAATTCAATAACTTCCTAAAGGACAGGAATGCAGTCTTATTATTTCGTTTGGTGTCCCCTCCCCCCAGCCCAGTGCCAGAATGTTATAAAGGTGCCCACGTGGCGCCCAGTACCTCTCCTCCTCTCTCACCCACCTACCAGCTCCAGCACCATTTAGAGAAGCAGGGATCAGTGGAATTGCCCAGCCGGCACCCTCATTGTTCACACAGCCAGCCTGGGGCCTGGGAATGCTGGCCAAAAGGCAAGGATTAGTGGCCTGTCCAGGACTTCTAGCCCAGCTGCCTCTTTGAGAACTTTGCTTCTCAGCTTGTTGTTTGTTTATGTATCTTGCTCGGAGCTGGCTGTGCATGGTGTAAATGAATAAAGGCTATTTTACTTTTATTTATTTTCTTATCTTAGAGTTGCATTTAATTTTATAGGGAGCACTTGAAGGCAAAAACAAAAACAAAAACAAAACCCCCCCCAAAACAAAAAACAAACTTTAAGCTCTCAAGAATGAGTTCTGAATAGTGGAATTCTAGGCCCCATGACCTACTGGTTGGGAGATGTTTTTAAGTTCTTCTTTATTTATCTAAGTCATCTCTACCCCCAGTGTGGGGCTTGAACTCACAACTCCAAGATCAAGAGTCACATGCTCTACAGACTGAGCCAGCCAGGGGCCCCTGTTGGGAGATATTTTGCATCAGGAGTGCCCACCAAACATCACTAGAGAGACCAGAGTCTGGTGAAATCCGCCAGGACCCCGGGGCCCAGCGTCCCTCAGCTGGGGCTCTCCTGGGCGGCGCGCGGTCAGAGCCCCAGAATGATGGCAAGGAAACTGGCCTAACTAAATGAGGAAAGACCCTCCTGTGGGAATACTATGCAGCCAGAGCACATCGGTGGATCAAATAATTTCAAAGGCCACGGGACAGCTCACATCTGCTGCTAAGTGAGAAACACAAACTAGTACACAAAACTATATTAAGCATTTTGAAAAAAGTGTGTGCTCAAAGAAAAAGATAGGAAGGAAAAGCACATGTGTATTCACAGTGTGTGTCTCGGTGCTAAAAGTATGTGTGGTTTTATTTCCTTTTGGAAAGTACATTTTGTATCTTCCAACTTTTTTTGACATGAATTCTATTATTTTTGGGGAAAAAAAAGAAGAAGAAGAAAAGAAAAAAGAAGGAGGTCCTGGAATGGCCCCCTCCTCCCAGCTGCCCCCTGGAAAGTCACGAGCCAGCCAGTGAAAGAGGTGGGCGGGGGCTGCTGCCCTGGGCTGCACCCCCCCCCCCCCCCCCCCCGCCCCACACAGCAGATCCACGAAGGGAGCTTCCTGTCAAAGGGTCCTGCAGCCGTGGTGTCCCTCGGAACCCTGCACACAGCTGAGGGGCTGATTCCTTCCAGGAGACAACCACGGTGGGTCCCCCGCTCTCTGTCCCCCTATTTCCTGTCCCTACCCACAGGCTCAGCTCCAGGCCTCCCAACCCTACTGCAGAGCAGAAGCACCTGAGAACTTAAACCCCCGCTGAGCACTCAGGCCCCTCCCCAGAACAAAGAGAGCCCGATTCTCTGGCTATCCAGAGATAAACAGCTCCCAGATGATTCTGAAGGGCAGCCCAGTTGAGACGCTCTGAGCTCCCTCTCCATGAGAGTCACTCCTGTATCTTCTCCCTGGGGGCCACCCCTCCAGGCCTGGCCCCCCCCCCCAACAGCACCCCAAAGGCCCAAGACCAAGCCTCACTGAGCTTTCCCCAGCCCCAGCCTATGATCCCAGCTCAGTGATTCTTCTCAGTTTAACAAGAGGAACGCCTAGAAAAGAGATCACGACCCAGAGACCTGAAGGAGGCGGATTTCGGGCCAGCACAGAGCCAGCCAGTGTAGGGCAAGGAGCTCTGCCCCCCACATTTTAGTGGCCACTCATGAACCAAAGAGAGTTATGTAAACTTTTGCCCCTCATCCCATTCGCACCCCCCAGCCCCCATTCTCCCATCCCCCATCTAGACCCTCATGCTGCTGACCAGCCTCTGGAAGCTCTGTGGTTCATCCCTCCCCGCTGCTGGAGGGAACAAAGCTAGCGTTGTCTCTCGGCCTTCTGTCCAGGCCAGTCACTCTTTCCGTCTCTCCCACTGGAGCCCAGCTCGGGAAGACGGCCACTCACCAGGATGGAGAGGATCACGGGCCCCCGAATGACCCACCAGATGGATGCGTTGGCGTTGATGTCCCAGCACCTGTGGAGGGACAGCCAGGCATCGTTAGGGGTGGAGAGCTGAGGGGGCCAGGAAAGACTAGTTCCCTCAAGTGCTCTTCGGAGGAAGGGCCCATGCTGGTGGCCCCAAGCACTGTGGCTGGGGGCCCAGCCGTGTTAGAACTGACCCTCTCTGGCCGCCCGGGAGCACTTCGGAGACCGCTGGAGCAGAGCAGTGCCACACACCCCCCCCCCGCCCCGGTCTCCGTGCTCTCCCAGTGAACGTCCAGGGCAGTGGACCTGTGTGGCACCTGACAGTCAGAAGATCCCAGAATCCCAAAGCGAGCGCAGTGACAAACTCAACTGCCAACAAGGGCCAGGCAGGTGACATCAGTGAGTGAAGTGGCTGAGTGACTGACGTGTGGCCTCAGGACCCTAGGACATCAGGCGTGGGGGGTACCTGGCAAGCTGGAGAGCATGTGCGGGGCCTAAGGCAGCCACATCGGCTCCGGCTGATTTTTGCCACATGGGAAAATGAGAGATGTTGGTAGAACTTCCCATGTTCTCGAGAGAAGCTAAAAATCCAGATTTTACAAAAAATCGAATTCACCCAATTAAAATAATTCTTTTGAAACGATTATTTGGGGCCAGAGTTGGACCGCAAGACACTGGCAAGCCTCATCGGACCAAATCCACATCCTGGGCTGGTTGCGTCAGTGTGTCTGTGAGAAACTGCCTCTGCTCTGTCAGGCCGCCTCACTTCCTCCTCGGCTTCTCTCCGTGTGCCTACTTCCCAGCAGGGCCCCCTGGGCTTACCTCCATCCTCAGTGCCTGGCAGCTTTAGAGAAAAGACTAGATCTCTCTGTCCCCATCGGGAGTCACTGGGAATGCGGCTCTCCTACACCCACCTCTGCTGGACTCTCACACAGGCCCCCTCCCCCGCCCCCCCCGGGGGGTAGGGAGGAGCAGAGGAGAGGATCCCAGGAAGAAGGAAAAGCTGGGTTGGCCCAGAGCTGCCTCACTGAGCGGCACCTGCCTGGACTTTCACGGCTCCTGCCTGGCACCTGCTCTTCCCACAGAGCTGATGGCGTGGGCAGGCCCAGGAGGGTGCGGGCGTGCTGGAGGCCACCACCCATCTGCAAGCTCACACCAGCCCAGCACTCCAGAGTACTCGCCTGTGGGACCCCTGCACCGCCCCCCCCCCGCCCCCCGCCGTTTAAAAAGCAGGCCTCTCCAAATAGCTCCAAAGAAGTGCCCATCCCGCTTGAAGAACTGGACAATATAAAATACACTCTTGTTACCTCTCCTTCAAAGAGCTTACCCGACATCTTCCAGGAAGTGCCTACTGATAGCCCACGAAGCAACAAAAATGGCCGGGGAACCTGAAGATTAAAAATAAAGGAGGGAGCGGGGAGAGGGGACTCAATTTTCAACACCCCCATAAGGGAACAGGGCAGTTCACCCGGCCCAGGAGTGAGCAGGTGTCACAGAAACCCCCTTGTAAATCCTGTGCAAACAAATCCTTGTAGTCTCCTGCTTCTAGGGTACGAGGCATGCCCTGCAAACTGAGGCAGAATCAGAGGTTCTTGAACGCCAGGAGGGGCTCAGAGTGTCCTGGGAGCCTGGGGCAGACTCGCGAGGCCCTCTGCAGGGAAGAGAAGGGAGAAGTGATGGTCTACACCTGGGCTGTCCTGGGCAGAGGCCGCTCTTCCCACGTAGCTATGGAGTGCTTGACATGTGGCTGGTCCCACAGCACATGTGCTGTAAGTGCAAGCCACCCGATTTTTGAAGACTTAGTAGAATGTGAAATATGCTAATTTTTATATTAGTTATATGTTGACATGAAAATATTTTTATACTGGGTTAAATAAAGTAGATCATTGAGGTTAATTTTATCTGCTTCTTTTTACTGTGTTTACTGTGGCTACTAGAAAATTTTAGGATATATACGTGGCTCATTCTATTTCTAATGGACATGCTTGTCCGCACCTGAAAATGGTAACAGCCCCATCCCTGGGCTGCTCAGGTTTCAGACCTCCAGCAGCCAGGTTTACACCCAGACAGGAGATGAAAGAATTTTTCTCTGGAGGAATCCAACAGCCCCAGACAAAGGGCCTATAGATGGCGATGCTGGGGACCCCTTCCAACACAGTGGCCACTTCCAGCTCAGTCTCCCTTGAGAGACATGCCCCGCCACCCCACACATGGGGCCTTCAGTCCGCTCTGAAGTGACTCATTCTTAAACATGAACAGACAGTCAAGGTCACGGACATCTGAGGAAAGCTGATTACATAAAAGACAAGGACCAAAACAATCAGAGAGAAGGAACTCAAAGGAAACAGACCGTGCAGGCTGCAGGAGGAACTTGAACAAAACAACTCTAAGGAATATCATCAGAGAGATAAGAGGAAAGATTACATCTGCAAGACCCAAACAGGATGCCGAAAATAGGGAGCAGTCCGAGAACAAGGAAGAGGGCTTAGAAATTGAATATATGATAACCAAGATAAAAGACTCCATAGATGGGTTGGAAGATAAAGACCAGGAATCGCCCGGAAAGCAGAACACAAAGAGTGGAATGAAAAATAGGAGGAAAGACATGAAAAAATCAGAGGTCAATTCCAGGATGTGCGCCATCTGATTAAAAGTTTCAGAAAGAGAGGATAAAAACCCAAGGGAAAGAAATCGAATAGGTGATGTAAGATCATGGTCCAAGAAATGAAGGATGTGAATTTCCAGATGAAAGGACCACCGGATGTCAGCGAAAAGGATGAAATCACCTCGAGTTGGGGCACATCCCTAGGGCATTTCAAAACAGAGGGACAGAGAGAAGACCCTGCAGCTTATGTAGAAAGAGATGAGTAAAAATGCCCGGGGAAGAAGAATAACATGGCAGGGGCACCTGGGTGGCTCAGTCGGTTATGTGTCTGCCTTCGGCTCAGGTCATGATCCCGGGGTCTTAGGATCGAGCCCCCAGTTGGGCTCCCCGCTCCGCAGGGAGTCTGCTCCTCCCTCTGCCATTCTCCCTGCTTATGCTCTCTCTCTCAAATAAATAAATAAAATCTTAAAAAAAAAAAAAAAGAAAGGAATAGGATTTAGAGAGGGAAATGAAGGAAATTCTCAGCATGAAGGGTAAGGGAATTGAGCAAGTCTAGAGAACAACCAGCCCAAATAGGGCAGGAAATCAGAAGGCTCTAGAAAGAACATTGTTGGCTCTATCAGGTTGAAAAGCATCCTCCCTAAATTCCTATCTACCCAGAACCTTAGAATGTGACTTTATTTGGAAATAAGGTCTTAGCTGGTGTAATTAGTTAAGAAGAGGTCATACTTAGAAGGATGCCAGTCATATGGGGCACCTAATCCAATATGACCGGCATCCTTATGAGAAGACCATGAGAGACACAGAGCAGAAGAACACACAACGGAAAGAAGGCCACGTCAACACAGAGGGAGAAATCACAAGGATGCAGCCACAAGCCAAAAACCGCCAAGGACTGCCAGCAACGACCAGAAGCTGGAAGAGAGAGAGGCATGGAGCAGTTCAGAAGGATTCAACCCTGCCAGAACCTTGATTTTGAACTTCTGGCCACCAGAACTGTGAGAGAATAAATTTCTGTTGTTTTAAGCCACCGAGTTTGTGGCAATTTGTTTACGGCAGCCCATAGGAAACAAATACAGCAGGAAGAAACCAACAAATAGGAACGAATAGATTTCCTGTTGGTATGGGATGATCTGGGAAACAGCGCTGGAGGGTTTTCCAGTGCTCTGGGTGAACTGGTGGGAATTAAGGACAGCAACATAAAACAAATAAGTCAATCAAAAGTGACTCCGTAAAAAACAAAAAGTTAACTATTGGGAGTAAAATCATTGTACACCACTCGGCTCAGCAGTAAGCATTTACATAGATATAACGATCCATACATAGAATAGGACTTTTTTTTTTTTAAAGATTTTATTTATTCATTCGACAGAGAAAGAGTGAGCACTAGCAGGGAGAGTGGCAGGCAGAGGGAGAAGCAGACTCTGCTGAGCAGGGAGCCCGACGCGGGGCTCGATCCCAGGACCCTGGGATCATGACCTGAGCCGAAGGCAGACGCTTCACCGACTGAGCCACCCAGGCGCCCCACTATTTAATTATTTAAACCAAGTATGTACATGACTTTAATAAAAATAATATATATATTTTTAATTTCTTGCCTCAATTTTGGATGCTTTGGGCAAAGAACATGGGTTCTTTTTTTTTTTAAATAATTTTTTATTGTTATGTTAATCACCATACATTACATCATTAGTTTTTGATGCAGTGTTCCATGATTCATTGTTTGTGCATAACACCCAGTGCTCCACGCAGAATGTGCCCTCTTTCAAGAACATGGGTTCTGAAGGGCCACCTGTTCGTTGTCTCCCATCTTTACAGAGTTGGCAGAAAGTGGGAAAGCCAATAATGGCTCGAGTTAGGGTTTCTTAGTGTGGTCCCCAGACTATGAGGATCAGAGTCACTTGGGGCCTTGTTAGACAGGAAGAGTCTCTGGCTACACCCAAGGCCAACTGGCTCAGAGGCGCCGGGCGTGGGATCCAGCCAGCTGGGCTTGACACACCCTCCATGTGACTCTGATGCTGGCTCCAGTTGGAGAGCCACCAACTCAGCGAGGGGGAGCTTGGTTCATCCCCACAAAAGCCAGAGGTGTCACCCTTTCCTGGGTGCAGACACCCCAGCCACCTTGAAAAAGTAAAAGTGTTGGGTAAGTATTAAAAATCTTAAAAGTCCCCACTCCTTTTGATCCAGTGATCCGAATTCTAGGACCCCATATTACACATGGAAATAAGCTTTGTCCATAAATTATTTATCACTGTGTTATTTATAATAGTGGAAAATTAGAAACAACCTAAATGTCCATACAATAGGTATTTGGTTAAATCGGTCCAGAGACGAGTTAAAAATGTTTATGGCAGAGGTAGAAGAATACAGAACATGCCTGTGTGTCAACAGAAAGAAACAAGATTCAGAATTCTACATTTAGAATGACGACAACAGGGGCGCCTGGGTGGCTCAGTCAGGTTAGCGTCTGCCTTCGGCTCAGGTCATGATCCCAGGGTCCCAGGATCAAGTCCTGCATCAGGCTCCCTGCTCAGCGGGGAGCCTGCCGCTCCCCCTGCTTGTGCTCGTGTTCTCACTCTTTCTCTGACAAATAAATAAAATCTTAAAAAAAAAAAAAAAAAAAAAAGAATGACCACACAATGCAGAGAAAAACTCAGTAGGAAAATCGTCTGGAAGAAAACCCCCCAAAATGTTCATTAGATGAGACCAGGGTAATTTTTTTCTACTTAATTTTATTTTTTGCAGTTGTACAGTGAGCATGTACTCATTTAAGCAGCCCATCTCTGGGGAAACAAGTTGCATACAAATTGAGGAGGGGCCCCTGCTTTTGCAAGAGAAAGGCTTCTCCCAGACGGAAAACTTTAGACCTTCCTAAGTCCCTTCAAGGTCTCCTTGGGGCGGTGTAGGCGGAGAGACCAGGAGGGGAGGAACCTCTGTTTTATGTGCTGTTCTCTCTCAGGGCCTGGCATATAGTAGATGAAATATTTGAGAAAGAAAGGAAGGTGCCCATAATCTCACTTAAACCCTCCTAAAAATCCATGGGGCGCTGGGTGGCTCAGTTGACTAGGCATCTGCCTTTGGCCCAGGTCATGATCTCAGAGTCCTGGAATCGAGTGGCATCAGGCTCCCTGCTCAGCAGGGAATCTGCTTCTCCCTCTGCTCCTCCCCATCAGCTTGTGCTCTCTCTATCTCTTCTCTCAAATTAATACAAACCTTTAAAATAAAATAAAATAAACCCTCCTAAAAATCCGTGATGGAGATGTTGCAATGCACCTTTGTCTCCCTGCTTGACTATGACCCCTTTGAATGATGGAACTGTTTTTGTTTCTGTAATCTCTAGAAGCCCCTCTGAGCACAAAGAAATGCTCGAAGAAAGTCGAAAAAATTATGATCCTGATATTACAGATAATGACACTGCCTATATTCATATGACGAGATCCTGGCAGATCTGGGAGTCAAGGTCAGTGAACGAGGTTCCAAACGGGGTCCTTTTTTGGGGTCAACTGCATGAGGCAGGTCCCTGGTCCCCCAGTACTCTGGGACTACTGTTCTCTGCAGAAATCCAAAGATCTGCAGAGTCCCACAGCTCCCACTGGCTGAGGGTTATGTGCTAATCAGGCTGCCAAAGTCTACAGGAAGGCTCGGCAAGCTCTGGCAGCTCAGGTGACTTCCCTGATGTGAGGAGATAGGGCCCTTGCATGGAAGGATTTAGACAAGCAGAAAAGACGGGCTTTCCTGGCAGGGGCACTTCTTAATTAAAGGCACTAAGAAGAAAGCAAATGAAATTAATGGCTGGTACACATGACTATCCCTGTAAGCATATGAGTCACTCAGAGGAACCTGGCCATCTTTCTAGAACCCAATGGGTAACTTACATATGTTTATCAAATGAACAATGGATGGATGGATGGATGGATGGATGGATGGATGGATGGATGGACAGACGGATGGATGGATGGATGGATATTTGTTAATGGCAGAATAAGAGTTAAGGGGCCTTTGGAAACAGACAAGCCTTGGTTTGAATCCTGGGTCTGCCCTTGTCTACAGTGTGAGCTGAGCATATTACATCCCCCCCACCGTCTTTTAGCAGGCTTCTTTGAAGGGCCTCTGGAGGTTGTGGTGGCAATTAATTAATGCATGTAAACTGCTCTGCTCATAGTAATTGCTCAAGAAATGGAGTTATCATCTTCCTTGATCAGAAAGGAAAGGGGGAAGAGAAGGAATGGGGCCTGCAGTTGGCTCTCTGACTGCCATTTCCCCTCCTTCCTACAAATGAACCCTGAAATTCCTTTGGGAAGCCATGTGGTTTGAACAGCTTAAGCCCATCAGTGTATTCCATTCACTCAGGCCTGTGATTGGCTCAGGATGTGTCTGAGACAAGCCGGCCCAATCAGAGTGAACCTCAGAGTATTTGTTGGGAATGCTGGGCCTTTTCCTCTCATTAGGTACAACAAGGAAGCTGGTAGCCCAGAAGCTGTTGGCAGTTACACTGGGAGCACCAGCCTAGAGATCAAGCTGATGTTACAGAAGGCGAAGTCGAAAGGCACAAAGAAACGTGGTTGAGCTGCTGGATCCAGCCTCACCTGAAGCTGGTGATGCCTGGACTTTTCAGATACATGAGCCAATGCTTTCTTTTATGTTTAAAGCTGATCTAAGCCAGATTTTCTGACCTACAATCAAAAGTACACTAACTGATATAGAAAGGAAGCAAGGATGAAAATATGTGAATGGAACATCTAAGGAAGATGACACAACAAGCATTGGGTGGTATCAAATGGTAAGAGACTTTGGGTGGCCAAAACTGGGGCTACATTTTAACTGTGAATTCCTACTTGACATACAAGGAAACCAAAGTCAAGGGGTTAAACAAGAAGGAAATTGCCTAAGATTCCACAAGTTAGCTAACTTGTGTGTGGAGCTGGAACTAGAAACCGAATCCTCTGGCTCAGAGCCTGTTCCCACATACCCCCACCGTTCCACCCATGGAGAAACATACCCCATCCGAGGGCAACAAATCCCCGGAGGCACTTCCTCTCTGAGAAGAAGGAGATGACCAGGAGCGTGTGAAGGTAGAGGCCTTCCACCAGCAGCCAGGCGTAGTTGGCCATGATGCAGTACTGGAAGAAAGCCATGACCAGCTTACAGCCCACCTGCACAGAGAGAGGCAGGTGAGCCCCAGGGCTGGGCAACAGCGGGCTCCCCTCTGGCAGCCACCCCTGAAGGACGTGACAGGGCGTAGTAGGGGTCAGGTCGCAGAGCGAGTCTCTGGGGGCTCCTGGCCATCCCCTGTGGCTGTCCACTCTCAGAAGGCCAGGCCCAAGAGTTCTCTAGAGGGTGGGAGTCCACATGCCAAGAGGCCCAGCCAAGAAGGCTAACGGGCCATCACAGAAGTAGGCAGTGCATTCAAAGGGATTTCTGAGCCAAGGAGTAACAAAATCCTTTCTAAGCTCTTTTCTCGGAAACAGAAGAAGAAGGGACGTACCAGTTATGTTAGGAGGGCAACACTGATTATAGTGAAAATGGCCCCTGATTGGCACACTGCGTCTGTTCTGGAGACCTCTAATTACCAGATGGGGGGGGCCAGTGCTGGCCTTGCCTGACGCAGTGCCTTGTTAGAGGCGTGTCTCTTGCGGGGATCGCCAGAAGCTGTCCCTGGGGACTTGTGGGTCCCGAGGCTTCCATCCCAGCAAGGCAACCATTCCCATGTGGCAAGGGTCCCCATTCCTTTCCCTGAGCTGTCCCCTGGGGAGAGGACAGCTTCTGGGATGGCCTGAGGGCTGCTACAGGGGCTACGTGAAGGTCACATCCACAGAGAGGGAGAAGCCGGTGTTGCCCTGCTGGCCAGCTATGGTTCCTGCCCTACGGCCACCTGCAGACTCGGACTCTGGGGGGCGCCCGTGGTTGGCTCAGGAGTCAGATGTTTGGTGGAACCCAAGAAGGTCCCCTGCGGGCACTGCTGGACTTCTCCACTGCTGGTCAGTGAGGTGGGGGGCCTGAATTTAAGTCTTCTGACTCTCATTCTGGTACTCTTAGTTCATCCTGACAATATCCTGAAGGGAGATTCAGTCGGAGTCAGAAAACACACACACGCACACACACACACAACTATAAACAACACAAACTCAACAGATCTGTAAGGAATTAGAGATCTGAGCGGTAGGAAGTGACAGGGAGGTTGACTGAACCAACCTCAATCTCCAATCCCTTCTCCCTTGTCTGCCTCTGCTATGGAGACTGTACGGCCTGTGGATTGCCCATCTGTGGACGGCTTATGTGGGAAACAACCCCCATCCGTTTGAGCCACTGATGTATGGTTTTCTGGTACATGCTGCAAGAGGGATTCCCAACTGATACACAGAGCAACATTGCAAAGGATAAAGAGTTATCTGAGCATTCAGGAGGAGGAAGGGGGTTAGATTTAACAAAACAATTGTTTTGCCACACACCTGTGTTTGCAGAACCTAGGCATATGTTCCCACTTTTCTTTCTACACCCAACCTCAACCCTCTTTAGACCTGGCCATCTGTCCACAGCTGGGACTTGGCAGGTGGAGGGAAAAGACGAGCCTCACTATGTATCTAATTGCCAGAGTGGCTAAGCCACTCCTGGATGCTGGGAGTTGAAGGGTAGCCCCCAGAGGCCTCCTGACAAACTGCTCTCATACATGACCCAGACTGTGCGCGTGGAGACATGGGACTCTCCCCGGGCTCCCTGGCCCAGCACTGGCCCCTCTACTCTAGGCATTAAGTGCAACCTCAGCTGGGATTTGGGGGAAGGGCAAGGGGACCACCACCCTCTCCCGAGTTGGGCCGAGGAAGGTGGGCAGCCTGGACACACTCGGGGGCATGCTGGCATGTTACCCTGTGGGCATCACAGTGAGCGACATCGTCCGAGGAGAAGAGCACGGCGTCCTTGATGAAGTTGGACAGGGCACGCAGGATGAAGGACACAAAAAGGTGCATGTGGATGTAGTTGCGGGTGCAGTGAAGCCTCCTGGAGAGAGAGAATGCAGGGCCATGGGGGCCAGAGCCACAGGCGCGCGGCCACTTCTTAGCTAGACGACCTTGACCTCGGGCAAGCCTTTTCACCTTCCAGAGCCTGAGTCTCCTCCTCTGCCGGAGGGGTCAGAGGTCTGTTACTCTTTCCCCGTCTTCTGGTACCAGAAGCAAGCTTTCTTATGGGGAACCCAGTCCAGCTCTGAGTGGGGGTGACTCCATCCTCCTACCCTCTTGATAGGCCTGACCAATCAGAGTACTCCACCCCTGGTTGCTGTGACTGGCTCAGGTTGGGCATGTGACCCAAGCCTAGCCTATGAGATATCCTACCCCTATCCCCACCCCAGGACTTCGATTGCAACTAATGGGGAAGAGGCTCTCCTTGTCCTGGTGTGGCCGAGGCGGTGGAATGTACCCCTGAGGCTGCTGGTGGTTGTCTCTGCCACCCCTGCAGAAAGCCTACCTGAGGATGAGGCCAAGGCAGAGTTGAGAAAGGGAGGGAGACAGACCTAGTTCTGCAGATACCTTTGAGCACCTAGATACAGCCATTCCTAAAGCCAGCAGCCCTGAGCTTGCCAATTATGTGGGTCAGGTCACCTTTGTTTACTTAAACTGTCTTAAGGTGGATTTCTGTTTCTTGCAACCAAGAGTCTGGCTAACACACTTGTAAAACGGGGTAATGATACCCATCTTATAGCATTGTGTGAAAATTACAGATAGTACATGTGCAGTAAAGTTCCTTCTTGTGCGCAGTAATTGTGGAATGAATAAAAAATATGAACAAGGTCACAGGAACATCAGTGTTTGGCCACAGGTAAGGTTTAGATCAAGAGGTCCCCAAGTGGCCCACCCAGACCTTCCTTTCTCTGGCCTGAGTAATTTAAAGAGACCCAAATTCTGCGCCTGTGGAAGGCTGGGGAGGCAGAGAGTTGGCAATGTATTCTCACCGGAAAGCACAGAGGATGCTGAGGGCGACCAGGAGCATCACCAGGGAGGAGCTATAACCCACGGTGTACATGACCTTCAGCTTCATCAGGTACTCGTGCTGCAGAGAGAGGCATGTGTCAGTCCCATCCACCCTGTGGCTGGGCTTTTTTCTGCCTCAGAGTGTACCTGCCCAGGCAGCTTGAACCTTTCAATACTGACTGCTATGCTGATCAGATTCCGCGGACCTCAGTTCATAGACTCGGAACACCTTGGCTTTGGAAAAGATCTCAGGGATCATCTGATGCCAACTCAAACTTCTACCCCATGCGTAGCGCCCCTTACCATCACCCTGAATTCAAGCCTTCGCTTGAATACCTCCAGGGATATAGGCTCACCTGGCCTTTTGAGGACGTCATCTGGTATACAAGGGTGCAAAATATTAGGTAATTTTTTCTCACGTGAAGCTAAAATCTATTACTTTTAAATTGCCCCTATTAGTCTTTTCTGGACCTACTTTGGAGCCACTTGAAATAAATTGAATTTATCTGTACCTAAGGCCTAGCATTATTATTATTTTTTAAAGATTTTAAAGATTTTAAAGATTTTATTTATTCATTTGACAGAGAGACACAGCAAGAGAGGGAACACAAGCAGGGGGAGTGGGAGAGGGAGAAGCAGGCTTCCCGCGGAGCAGGGAGCCCGATGCGGGGCTCGATCTCAAGACCCTGGGATCATGATCTGAGCCGAAGGCAGAGGCTTAACGACTGAGCCACCCAGGCGCCCCTCTAGGAATTAATTCTAAGAAATTAGCGCGTGCGCGCGCGCACACACACACACACGCACAAAGAAATAAGCACAAAAGGAAAAGCATATTTATACATCAAGATGTTCCTCACAGAACGATTAGTGGTGAAAAACACTCAAATGTCCAACAATAGAACAATTAACTAAATTATTTTAAATCATTGTTTTAATGTATGCCGCCATTAAAATGCTGCTTCCCAAGAGTTTTAAAAGATGTCAGCACGTGCGAAGAATGTAACATTAAGTGAAAAAGCAGAATACAATTTTTTTAAAAGATTTTATTCATATTTGAAAGAGAGAAACACAGCGACAGAGGGAACACAAGCAGGGGGAGTGGGAGAGGGAGAAGCAGGTTTCCCGCCGAGCAGGGAGCCCGATGCGGGGCTCGATCCCAGGACCCTGGGATCACGACCCAAGGGGAAGGCAGACACTTAACCGACTGAGCCACCCAGGCACCCCCAGAATACAAATTTTATATGTCCAGTGTGATTCCTGCTATCTGTTGGAAAAAAGTTTTAAGTTGAATTACATGAAATTGCCCTCTTTGGTAGGTCAAATGATTGAGTACCGGCCATTTCATGTGGTTCAATCTCATACATGCATAGACCATAAGACTGTAAAAAGATGTGTTAGAGGTTAATAATGGTTAACTTTGGATGATAAGTTTGTGGACAGAGTTGTTATTTTTATTTTATTTTTTTCTACACTTCTCACTTCTCTCCAGGGGGTGAGTACTATTTTATAACCAGAAGAAAAAGGTAATTAATTAAAAAAAAAAAACAGGCACAAGAATAGTATTGGGGAAACCTTGCTGACAGCTCTTCATATGAAAATGACCTTGAGGTTCAAATGTCCCAAGCTCCATGGCATTAAGAATTGTACTGCAGGGAAAGAATGCAGGCTTCAGAGCCGAGAGACGAGGTTTCCAAACCCAGGACTGTTACTCACCAGCTATGTGACCTTGGGCAAATTACTTAACTTCTCTGAGCCTCAGATTCCTCATCTGCAAAATGGGGGATAATATCTAACTTGCAGGCTTGTCAGAAGAACAAATGAAGTATCAGTTAGAGTATCTAGACAGTGCCTGACACTTACAAGACACTCAGAGCATGTTAATTTTTCCCCACTTCTACCCCTCACCCCCAGCATCCACCCTTCAACAGGAGTCATGGGTCCAAGATCACGGCAGGAAGTATGAGTTATAAAGAAGCTATATTGCATTCTCAGTTACAGTAACGGAGTGCTGTGGGACACCAGGCAACACTGGAACGTTTGAAGTGTTTCGTCCAGTTCTGGGCATGCTATTTTAAGAGACACATTAATAAACTGGAACATTTCCAGAGAAGGGAAGAGTGCATGAAAAAACTGGGTACATTGCACCCCGAGGAAACAAATAAACTTAGGAAAGAACAGTATTAGAACGATTGACAGGTAGAAGCATTAGCTCCAGGGGGAGGAAGCTACCAAAAAGATATCTGACTCAGAGTGACCAAAACTTTTCTGAGAGCAAGAGGCAACATTTGATGGGATGGCTGCCATGTGACATTGAGCGTCACCACTGGTGTGACTGTGATCCCAGAAGCCAGGAGCCACCTCTCAGGAACGTAGATGAGAGCCTAGGAGCCTCACTCCTAGGACCACCTGGCTAGCAGCCCTCAGTTCAGAAGCAGATTTGGGCCAGTCTGTTGACAGCATGAGGAGGCACGGGGTGACAGTAGGGGGCGTTCAGGCTGAATGTTCTGCATTGTCCTGAGGCTGGGCGGATTGTCTGCCAGGGAACCCTCAGGACACCAGCTAACTCCACTTGTCCCTGCGTTATGTGTGTAAGTTCTGATCCAGAAAGAGCCCTGCTCCCAGGAGGCCTGATGTGACCTCAGTGCACCCGCCCTCCACATCTGCAACGGGCACCACCTCCCAGGGGGCTTGCGGTCCAGAAGCCTCACTGCTGTCTGTCCTGGATCAAGTTGCCTGTCTCTCTGCCATGTTTCCTGACTGGGCCACCTTCCTTCTGCATCCTCTAGATCAGGGGTCAGCAGGACTTTTTCTGTAAAGGGACAGATAATAAGTGTTTTAGACTTTGGGTGCCCATTGGGGCTCTTGTAATCACTCAGCTCTGCTCATAGTGCACATTGCCATAGCTATGTCTCAATAAAACTTTATTAGCAAAAGCAGGTGGTGGGCTGGGTTTGGCTCAAGGGCCATAGTGTGCCAACCTCAGCTCTAGGTAAGCAAACCCCATTTTATTTACCCAAGCATCAGCCTGGTCCTTTCTGCTAATCTGAGTCCACTGTGGGCTTTTGTCAGTGACTACAATGGCACGTGCCAAGGAAGGAAATCGAAAAAAAAGACAGCCAACAAATGCTGATTTCCATCATCATTTGATTAGAAGAAAAAAAACATTTCAACAATAAGAGACAGGATGATTCAAATCTCTGAGTACAAGACAAAGCTTGTGGACCAGCATCTAGGCACCAGTAAATCACATGGCCTGGAAACCTTTCTGATCTTAGGGATTTTAATTTTTTTTTTTTTTTTTTTTTTTTAATGTGAGTTGAAGCCAAGGTAGGTCTCCTTTCCACTACTTTTGGCCAATTAATATTCTGAGTTAAGTCCAAACTTTGCATTTACCTTTGTCAAACTTCAGCTCCTTGTTTTGGGATTTTAAGTTTCAACCCTGGATGAATATCATGGTTAAGGCCCTGGGCTCTGTTCTTCCCCAGCTGATGAGTCTAAGCCAACAGTGTCTCCGATGTGGTTTCAGTAGACAGAACTCACAAAACCAAAAGCTCCGTGGGGTCCTCAATAATTCTTAAGGGTGTCAAAGGGTCCCAAGGCCAAAAGGTTTGAGAACCACTGGCCTAGGACAATCCTGTATCCCAGCCCTCTGCCAGGGATGGTCCAGGGGTGGGCAGGCTCCAGTCACTTTGGGCCAGTGAGATGTGAGGACAAGCTTGCTGGGGTTTGGGTGAAGAAGCTTTCTCGCTCTTGGGAAGGAGCCATAGGAAGTCTGGCTGTCCCTCCTCCTGGACAAGCAGGCATGGGGAAGCATGTAGCTGTCATCACCAAGGCCGTCATCCAAATCGAGAAGTGGCAGCCTCGAGAAGAAGCCACCAGGATAGCAGGAGGAGAAATGGAAAGAACCTGGTCCTTGGGCAGCTTCTCAGTGCTGCTTTATCAAAGAGTTCTGAAACCTGTTCTCTGCATCCCCAGTTATATGAGCCACACCTGTTTATTAGGCAAGTTGGAAATTTCTGTTTCTTGCAGCCCAGAGCATCCTTTCGAACCTCTGTGCTGCCATCCATCATAAGAATGTTCTCTCTTAATTTTATGGATTTTGCCAATGTCATCACATAAACTTCCTGTCCTCATAGAAGTCAATGAGAGAAATGGTCACCTGCGGGGGTCAGAGCCCATCCACTCTTCCAAAACCATCTGTACACACTGATCAATGCTTGCCGGGTCTCGTTATTAAGGTACCCCACTCTGGCCAGACCCGAAGACCCCCTGTGTGTCCCCCAACTGGATGACAAGCCCCGGGAGGGAAGAAACCCGAGTCTCCAGCTTGGTCCCCCGATCAGTCTCCCTCGTACAGAGCAGGACTGACTGGCTAGAGAGAGGAGTCCTAGAAAAAATTCACAAGTGGGTATGGTCTGTCTCCCAACCTCATCTTCTCCCTTCACTCTGCTGCTTCCCCCCCATGCTACTCTCACATGCCCCCACTCCATCCTCCAAGGGACCAGCAAGCCTGTCCATCCAGATTCCCACTGGGGAGTTTAGCCCACGGGGCTGCAAAAGAGCATCTCCCAGGGGGACGCGCACCATACCAGGGAGGCAGCAAAAGCTAGAGGAAGGACTCAGGCTCTTTTTGGAACTAACTTGGTTTGACTCCTGCCTCCACTAGTTTCTGAGCGTGTCCCTTCACCCCTCTGAGCCTCACGTTCCTCATCTGCACAATGAAGAAAATAACGACCTTACAACGGATTCTTCTGAGGGTTTAGCGTCATTATGTATCCCGCAACCGGCACATGGTAGGTGTTCAGTACAACAACAAACATTCAGTGGGCACCTGGTAAGTGCCAGGCATTGTGCTGGGGCCTGGGGGCCTGAAAATGAATACGATTCTGATTTGTCCCTGCAATATCCCTACACCTTGACCCATGCCTGGCTCACAGTAGGTGCTTGATAAATGTTTGTTAAGTGAATTCATGCCTTTGAAGAGCTTGCATTTTAGTGAGAGAGATGGATGCCCATGGCACATGATGATGATTTTGTTTAACGCAGTGGGTAATATTTTGGAGGCCAACACAGCATATTAAGGCAGTCCTTCCTGGGAGCGGGGAGGCGGGGAGAAAGGGCTTTCTGGAGTTGCTGGGCTGGAATGGAGTCTTGAAGGATGTGTTTGAATCAGGCAGGAAGAGTAAGGATGGAAGGGCTCTCTGAAACTAATGGCCCCTCAGGGGAGGCCTCTGGAGGCACCCGGAGAAGCTCAGCGCACCGCTCAGGCTCAGCGTCCTCTCTCAAATCAGGCCTGCCCTGCAGCCACCCTCCCTCTCCTTCCCCTCAGAGTCCGAGATGCCCTGAGAGCAAACATTTATTGAGCACTTCCTATGGCCGCTCACCCTTCTCACCACTTCCCTGGATTACCTCGTTTGGTTCTCTTGGCAAGTCTGTGAGGTCAGAACCATGATCAGCCCCATTTCCTTGATGGAGAAACCGAGGCACAGAGAAGTTAAGTCCTCCCGACCCCCGCCAAGGTCACAGTCAGGGTTCAGACTCACCAGCCTGGCTCCGGGCATTTAGCCAGCACGTTGCTTCTCCTTTGCTCTCATGACTAAATCACCCCCAGTGTCGTGGCGGCCCAGGGAGGTTCTCACTGCGCCCGGATCTTCGTGAACACCATCTCCAGGCTGACAGACCAGGGCAGTGAGGCAGGCCCAGCGAACCCCGGATGATGAGCGGGGCGGGGGTGGCAGGAGCAGCTCCTGGTCCCCTGATCTTGCCCCGGGGCTGGCTCCACTCTGTCTTCTCACCCTCTAGGCCCCCAGCCAGGGAAAGAAGGGCAGACAGGCTTACCCGCTTCTCATTGGACGAGTCGTTCACGTTAAGCCCACAGGCCAGGTCAGGCCTGGGGAAGGTTTCCGACCAGCCGTCCTGTGTGCAGTTTCGAAACATGGAACCTGTGGGGGGCCAAGCATCTTGCAGGTGAGCAGTGGGGACTGGGGACAGATGGCCTGGGGTCCCGGGTACCCTCAGCCACACCTTAGGGGCGGCGTGGCGCTTCCCCATCGCTGGGCCCCAGCTGCCTTTCTTTGAACCACAAGGTCAGCTCCCAGTTGGCCCAGCCGATCCTTGAAGAATATGTAAGGGTCAGTAAGAAGGAGCGGGAAAGGGGCGCCTGAGTGGCTCAGTCGGTTAAGCATCTGCCTTTGGCTCAGGTCGTGGGAACGAGTCCCACATAGTGCTCCCTGCTCATCGGGGAGTGGGCTTCTCCCTCTCCCTCTGTGATCTCTCTCACTTTCGCTCTCTCTCAAATAAATAAAAATCTTAAAAAAAAAAAAAGGGCAAAGATGCAGATGTGTGTGCACAGGTGAGAGAGAGACAGACCTGTGGACCCCCGAGGCCTCGATCTACAAACAGGCCAGCTCTGAACAAATGCCCTGTGCAGCCTCCAAGCACTACTTGTCCTCTCCCCGGGGTCCCATAGCCTCGCCCACTCCCATATCCCTCTGTGCCAGGCACAGGGCTCCACAGACAGGGTTGACACACACCGCAGTCCCCTATGGTCACAGCAGCTCTCCCCCACTGCACTCCCAACCCTGCAGAGCTTCTGGTCACCGCTCCCCAGCCCGGCTGGCTGCCCCCACGCCCAGCCCCACTCCAGGGGTCTCTCAGGCCCCAGGGCACCAGGGCTTCACCCCAGGCCTGTCCGCTCCCACCCTTCCCCTCACCTTCCCTTCTGGGGCTCCAATCTCAGCATCAAGCTCCCTCAGTGCTCCAGGGGGGACCCCCCTGCCCATCCTCCACACCCACTGGCTGAGGTGCCACTTCTGGTTTTTTGTGGGTTTTCCCAAAACAGGGGGTGCTCCTTGACCCCTTGGGTGTTCGCAGGAGATGAATATAAACCTTCGCAATGGCAGCACCCCAGTGCTCTTGCAAGGGATTACAGTGTCCCATATGATACAAGGGGCCAAGTGTCGTGCTCAAGGACAGTGGTCCCAAGCGATTCTGATTATATACCCCCAACCAAAAAAACCCCATTGATCTCACTCTTTAAGGATTGTGTATTTGCTCAATTATAAAATCCCGTGCTCTACTATAATAATACCTGGTGATTACTATGTGCCAGACACTGTCCTCAGCCTGTGACAGGTAGCGACTCCTTTAACCCTAACAAGACTATGAACTAAGCAGTTACCTTTATAGTAAAACATATTATAACATGTAAATACTGCATCCATTTTACAGTTGGGGAAACTGAGGCACACCATGGTTAAATAATCTGCATAAGATCACAGCACAGGAAATGGGAGTTGAACCCCGGGGTCTCAGACCCTCACTCTCAGCCACACACTATGTACCAATCCCCTTTCTTTCTCCTGCTTTCTCCTCCTACTATGTACTGATCCCAGGACCCACTGCCATTTAATGGGTGGGTTCCCCGAGAACCTGGCATGGTTGGCAAGGACCCAGCCATTCCCACAGTGAAATGTCCCATACCGAGGAAGTTCTATTTCAAATCTCACTTCCCGCCCTGCTCCCCAGCACCTGAAAACCCCCAGCAGAGCAGGGGCACTGAGGTAGACCGTCCAGGGGGCCACCCCTCCCAGAAAGGAAGGACTTTTCAGTCTTCCCAGCAACACCTCCGCATTTCTCTGCATTGTAAATCACAGGAGAGCTGCGATCCTCCCGCAGAGCTCACCGCCGGCCCCGTTCTCCTCCCCGCACAAGGCCAAGGCCAAGTCCCGTGCCCTTCACACAGTGGTGGCTGGCTTCCCTGCCTCCCCTAGCAGCTGATGAGCTCCCGAGGGCTCCGGGGCCCAACCCAGAGCCCTTGCTCATCCATTTGCTGGCTGGTGGGCCAGAACAGCAACTGAGTGGAGAAGAGCCTGCTCTAAATTCTTCTATAAGGGAACAGGGAAGTTTGCCCACACAGAGCTTTTGGAGCAGAAATCCGAAGACTGGGGAAGGGGAGCTGCCAGCCGTGAAGGAAGCCTTGGGAAGCGACCAGGAGGAGTCGCCCTCCATGGACTGACGGCCCAGCTGCATCCTCTACTCCAGAGGAGGGCCAAGCGCTTGTCCCAGGATCTGGCTGCTGCCCATGTGGCAGAGGTGCCGGGGGACTGGTCGCAGCCCTGGAGATAGAAGCTCTGACACCCACTCTGCTCTAATTTGTACCTTCCCCAGGGGCCTTAGCCACCCCGGTTGCCTTACATGCTCCTCTCTGACAGGCCTCGGGTCTGGACCACTGGTTCACAGGGTTCAGGGTCAGATGGCTTCCGCTGAACTCGAGAACTGTGGCTGGCATTTCTGGAACCAGCCACTATGCTCATTTCCAGATTTTGATCTAATCCTCCCAGCTCTCAGTGACTGGCTTATTTTCCAGACAAGAAAACCAAGACCCAGGATTGGGTAACAGGGCGCAGCCAGGATGTGACTCTTCACTGTGCCTCCCTCCCTGCAGTCCCGGGGCAGCTTCTACCGTCAGGAGACCTCGGCCTTCCACATCCAGGAATGCCCGGCCCCTGAAGGCTTCTGAGACCGGGAGCACAGGTTTCCAGCTAGCCAGATCTGAGTGTGAACCCCAGCCCTGCCTCTTGGTCGTCTGGGTGTGAGCTTAGGTACCTCACTTTTCTGTGCCCAGTGACAATAACCACCCACTTGCAGGACCGAGCAGGGAACATGATAGCACCAGGAAGGGCCCAGACTGGTGCTTGCCGGGGCCGGGAGTGTGACTCGCTCCTCCTTTCAGCCTTTCCAAAATGGAGCAGCGGTGGTGGGGCTTGGAAGCATGGAATTTAGGAGGGGGTGCAAGATTTCTATAGTTAAATCAAGGGAGCTAGGTTGTCAGACGGGAAAACATGGTGGTCCAATTTCGGCTTGGTTGGATGGGAAGTTGGATTAAGAGAACACAAACTCCCTGGAGCCCAGAACCGGTTATCAGCCAGTGTGTCCCTAGAGGCTGGGCTGGGCTGGGCTGCCTGTTTTGGGGCCTTCTCCTCACTGACCCAGTGGGATTCTCCAGACAGATGCTGCATGTGATCCAGGACAGGCGCCCGGTGTGACTAAAAAGACAGTGCCCTTTGCTGCCCGGGCTTTCGGCAGAACTGCTGAGAAGACAAGGGTTGGGCTCTCTCTGGAGTCCCTTCAACCCCACCCACTTCCCCTGGGGCTAATCCCTAATAGGACGGGGCCCCGTCCTTACCCAGGTTCAGGTCAACGTATACCTCAAGGGCCCCTGAAGGTACAGACAGTAATTTTGAGCATATACGTATGTGCAGTTTGGGGAAGAGCCAGTCCAAAGCTTTTATCCAATTCTCAAAAGGCTCTGGGAACTTACCAGGTTATAAGGAACCTCTCTACTGAGTTAAGGCTCAGGGAAATGCCAAAGTCTGACCCTGCCGCAGAAGTGTGTTTTCTAACAAGGAACTCTGGAAGACCAGTGCCCCATTAAGAATCAAAGGAATGCATCCTGGAGGGAACATTCTAGACCTTGGCACACACAGAAAAATATCTGGGGACAGATTCTGGCCTGCAGTTTCTCTAGTCACATGGACAACCATCCTGTCTGGGCTCCTGTAGTGGGGGCCCTGGGAAATAATTTATTATTATTATTTTCTTCTCTCAAAAGGAAGGGTCGGTCCAAAACACCAGACTGTCCTCACCGGGCGCTCCTCCCTGGGTTGGGTTGGGGCGCCTTGGAGTCCTGTGGGAAACCACTGAGGGGAGCCTTCCTTCCTGAGAGGAGTCCAGGGGGCTGGGATCTATGGGGAGGGAACATGGTGGTAGGAAGATGGTTCTTGGTGGCTAACTGAGGCGGGCTGGTCCTGACCCGTGCTCCTGGCCTGGCTGGTGCCCTGGGCTTGGGGATGGGTATGAACAGAGTGGCCCTGGGGTCCCTGGGTGGGGGGGTTAGTGACACTGCCCCCCAGCAAGGGCAGAGCACCGGGGGGGGGGGGTGGGCAGGGCCTCCCTGTGGACTGGTAGAGGGGTGGCTCCTGCAGCCCCACAGCGACACCATGTGGCATCAAGAAGAAACTGCAGCAGAGGTATGCCTTTCACCCCAACTTCCTCCCCCACAACGGCAGACCTAGAAATGAACTCCTGGGTGAACTCCGGGGGTCTTGAGCAATTAAAGGGTTGGGGATCCTCAAAAAGGAGTCAGTGGGCTACTAGTTAATGAGGCAGGCAGGCGTTCTAGCAATTGATTGGGAAGGATTTGGCCAGGAGCATGGCCCTGCCTGGCCCCTCTGCGGACAGGTAGGAGGGACGTTGATAGGAGAGGCAGAGGCACTGCGGCTCTGGGAGGGTTGTGAAGGGAAGGCTGGGAAAGGAGGAGAGCTTCAAGTCCCTCCAACTGGAGAGCTCGGTCAGCGAGGGAGGAGCACTGGATGGGGAGTCCAGGATCTGTCCTGGCCTTGCACCTGACCAGCACGTTGCCGTAGGTCAACCATGTGTGGATTAATCTCGTGTGTCGGGAGCTCCATGGACCCCAGACATAGACGTGGAAGGGTCACGCTGGGAGAAAAAGACTGTTGGTAAGTTTGCTGGCATGTGTTTGCAGGTGTGGAGGAGGGGAGGCAAGAAGGGAGAAGAGAGGAAGAGAAAGGACAAAGGAAGATATTTGAAATTCATTTCCAAGCACAACCTTATAGACTGGTCCTGTTTATTCTCCCCATTTTCCAGATAAGAAAATCAAGGCCGAGAATGAGTAACTTGGGCTCTCAGGCCTGGGAGACTGACCCCTGGCTGGACCACACTTTCCCTCGTCCCTTGCAGGTCAGTGTCGCCACATGACTGAATTCTGGCAGAGGCAATGTGGACAGAAGTGGGATCATATTCAGGCCTGGTGCTCATCAGGAGCGCCCGGTTTGCTCGTTAGGCGGGCAGGCATTATACACATGTACGAAGGCTTTGAGATTTGGGACATCTGTCTGTTTCGGCAGCGGACGTTATCCAAGCAGTAAGTGGAGAAGGCGGACTCAGACCTATCTCCCCGGTCCCCTGCAGTTCCTGTCTGCAGGGCATCCAGGAGGCTGAGCGGGACTGTGAGCTACCACAATGTGCTCCCCAGATCTGTGTGTGTTTGTGTGTGTGTGTGTGTGTGTGTGTGTGTGTGTGTGTGTGCGTGCGTGTGCGCATGTGTACTAGGAATTTACACTCCTCGCCCACCCTGCATGGTCTTGTGTTCCTCGCTGGTCAACCTTTCCTTACCTGGCTTTGGGATGCTGGTGGGTTTTAGTGTAAAGTCATCTTTTCTGGTTTGTTCTTGTGAAGGGCCTCATTGGCCAGTGTTTCCTGCCCCACATAGATGAGGGGAGGGGTTAGCAGGGCCAGGTGAGGCTTTCGACTTTAAATGACCTCACGGAGGACAGGGGCCAAAAGCCATGAAACCACCTTGCCTCCACCCAGCATCACCCCCCCCCCCAACACAAGGCTGTAGTCCCACCTTGACCATGGCATCGAAGGACAGGGCACTGGTTTTGAAGTCGGAGAAATGTGAGTTGGAATCTTAGATTCTCCATCTTCTAGCCGTGAACCTTAGGCAAAGTGCTAAACCCCTCTTAACTCCCCGTTATTTTTGCTTTTTCCTGGGTCAAGTGGAGGAGACAAGTTCTGTGATTGGCAGGGGAGTTGTGATGGTTCAATGAGCCTGTGTATATAAAAATGCCTGGCAGGTGGGGCTTTAGCCAATGTTAGTCCCTGAATATCCCCTGTCTGACACAGTCTCCCTCCCTCCCTGCCTCAAATTAAGAAAATCCTTGTAAACTGCAGTTTTCCTTAGGCAAGAGATCACCCAGGAGGCGAGGGGCTTTCGGGGAGGGCACAGTTTATCAGCAGGGCCTGGCAGAATGGACACATAGAAAGTAAGTGTTCTGGAAAGCTAGGTTGTGCCATGTGGGACCCAGACCTGGCGGCTGGAACAAGGGGTCTGGTTGCTAAGGGGGCAGAAACATGGAAGGAAGTAGGGGAACCCAACTGGGGATGTGGGACAGAGAGAAGCAAGCCCAGTCTCCTTTATCACTTCCTAGTACACTGCCTCCTGGCCCCCTTCCTTGGGACCCTGCGAATGGAGCCCACCTCACGCCCCCAAGCCAGGCTTCCAGGCCCCAACAAGGACCACCTCCCACTAGTCCGTTCACCACTTGTCCCCAGAGGTTCTTTGGTCTCCAGGCCAGGGCCCCACCCAGAGGGCCACCCACTGCCTCACAGCCGGGACCCGTGGGCTGAGTGGTTACCATTTCTGCCAGTGAGCATTCGGAGGAATGGGGGGCACCCCACTTCCATAGTCTGTCCCAGCGCGGAGGAGGGCCAGCAGCTCATGTTGTCCCACAGCCCCTCGCAACCTGCCAAGACGAACACAACATTAGACAGGGAGAGAGCGTGGGCCAAGGGCCTCCCCCCATACAGCCTGTCACCATCCCCAACACTCCGGCCTCCTTGGAGTTCCCGTGCGGTATTGACTCTTCGAGATCAGGAACCAGTGGGGTCTAATGTGGCTTTTTATCTTTGGGGCCTTCGACTCTGCCATCTACACAGTAAGCGCTCACGTTGAAGGTGTGAAGGAAGGAGGGAACACACATTATCTCATGTAAGTGTCACCAGGGCAAGTCTGGATTTCTCTAGAGCAGAAGACAGAACACCTCTTGGCCTCAGCTTGCATTAGACTCGACAGCAGGGGGCCTCCAGCCTGGCTGCACAGTGTAACTATCTAGGGAGCTTTATTATTTTTTTAAATTTTTAAAAAGATTTTATTTATTTATTTATTTATTTATTTATTTATTTATTTATTTGTCAGAGAGAGAGAGCACAAGCAGGGGGAGCGGCAGAGGGAGAGGGAGAAGCAGGCTCCCCGCGGAGCAGGGAGCCCGATGCAGGGCTCGATCCCAGGACCCTGGGATCCTGACCTGAGCCGAAGGCAGACACTCAATGGACTGAGCCACCCAGGCATCAGCAGAACATACAGAACTGGGCCCTACACCCAGGGATCCTGATTTAATTGGTGTTGGGAGGGGCCCAGGAGTGATACTGTGTTAAAACAGGAGTCTGTTTCCCCACATGCATTCCTCGGAAACAGGCTTTGGTCTGAGCACTGACTTCTGGATTCCACGTTAAGGTGCTGGCCTTCCAGTCCTCGGCCTGTCAGCTCTGGTTTGTGCTAGTGAGAGTCCATCACCCTGTGCTTTTCACACACATGAGCTCATCTAACCCACAGCAGTGCTCCAAGGCAACTGGCCCTGTCCTTGTTTTATAAATGAAGTGATGAAGCAGAGAAGAGAAGCAGGTTCCTGGAGTCCCACAGCCCAGGAAATGCAGGGGCTGGAAAGGGGCTGTCCAACTACACTGCTCCATGCCACCTCCCAGGCTTCACCCACCTGCCCTGTCTCCTCGGGGGCACCAATCCCAGCTTCCAAGAGCCTTCCTCATGGAGCCAGGCTAGGGGAGCTGGAGAGGGGCCAGGAGGTGGCGGGGAGGCAGGGTGTGAAGCTGGGCCAGGAAGGAAAGAGGGAGGATGCAGAGAGCTGGGCTGAAGGCAGTTGGGGCTCTCCTCTTGCAGGGAGGTCGGCCCCCAGAGGGATAGGGGGAGAGCGGAAGTGGGAAGTCAGGATGCCCGGCTGGGGGCTCTGGAGGTAGAGCCGCCCCTGAGTGACAGACAGACCGTGGGCCCAGGGCAAGGTTGCTGGTACAGAATGAGAGAGAGCTTGGACACAGAGGCAGGGCTTGGACGGGGCTTGCCCAGGACGGTGGAAGCATCTTGGGACTGAGGACCAGGGTCTGTGTCACTCGAGGAATGTGGGAGATGAGCAACCCCTTGGATGTCCCTGAACCTTCACCCCAACTCTCACAGGGAGGCCTGAAAGAGGAGGGGCTGGAGCTGTCCGTCTGAGCTCCTCCCAGAGCACCCAGGCAGGGTTTACCACCGTCCAGGCAACTGGTCGTCCACATTCCAGCCGTGGATGCTGCCCGCCAGGCCTGAGCAGGGTCTCTCAGAGCTTGCAGGCTCCCAGTGACTCTGGCCTCCCCAGATGGCCCTGGGATGGCGACACCAGTCTGGGAAGACCTGTAACAGATGACCCACTGTGTCTGTCTACTTGAGTTATTCCAGCATCTGGAGCCTGGAGGATGACGCTGACCCAGGTCCTTTCTCCTTCTGCAGAAGTCTCCGTATGACAGCAGGGTGCCTCATTTACAAGGAGCCGCATGTCTTGTATTAGAAGCGGTTGGGGCACTTCCCAGCTGTGTAAGAATTCAGGGGCCTCTTTCCTCCCTTTGGGAGAAATGAATTCAGGGCTGGGCCCAGCCAGGTCAGCCAGGGCCTGGGCCCAGGGCTCCCGCCCATGAGGCCAGACAAGCCCTGTCCAGTGGCCAGACAGATGGGGAAGGTACCAGGGCATCTGGCAGGCTTCCTGACCTGGGTCATGTCAGGCTGGACCCACGGAGACACTGCCCCAGTGCTGTCAGAAGGCGGTGGAGGAGGGGGCTGGTGGTAAGGGGGGAGCAGGCTCCCCTCAAGGTGAGTGGGGTCCCCTAGCGGCCGGTTCACTGACACGCCCTTCATATCAGCCCTGCAGAGAGAAAAGCCTGGACACGCATCAGACACCGTGGAGCTTGCAAGGGTTGGGTAAGGTCACTGCCCCACAGCAGAGGTGATGGAGATGCGGAACCCAAGCTCCGAGAGGCAAAGTGACACGTGCAGGGGGACAGAGCTGATACTGGTGGAGCTGGTATCCCACCCTCCAGGCTGACCCTTGGTAGCAGCCGACCTGATGCTTCTGCCTCCACGTGGCATTGCTCGTGTCTTGAGCACGATATCATGCTGTGACAGGGCCACAATCTCTTCCAGCCTCAGCACTGGGAACAGACCTAGTGCTCCCATCCCCAGTGGCATGCTCTTCTAGCCCTACTGGTTGACTGCTTTCAATTTTAATAGTTACACGTTTTTAAAAAAAGATACTTTAATATATATTAAGCAATTATAGGACGAGCATATCACATCGGTGATTTTATAGCTATTATTGTTTAGAAGGAAGCTAAGTTAAAAATTAAAAGTCAGTTGAAGAAAAGGGAACCCTGGGTGGCTCAATCGGTGGAGCATCTGACTCTGGTTTCCGGCTCAGGTCCTGATCTCAAGGCCCAGAGATCTAGCTCCGTGTTGGGCTCTGCGCTCAGCGCAGAGTCTACTTGAGATTCTCCCTCTCCCTCTGCCCCTCCCCCTGCTCATATTCTCTCTCTCTCTCTCTCTCTCCGAAAAAAATAAATTAATTTAAAAAAGTGGCGGGAGAACCCTCATACACTATCGGGGGAATGCAAACTGGCCATCATAGAAAACAGTACGGAGGCTCCTCAATAAATAAAAATAGAACTACGATATGATCCAGCAATCCCACTTCTGGGTATATACCCAAAGGAAATGAAATCAGGACCTCAGAGAGGGAGATCTCTGCACTCCCATGTCCACTGCAGCATGGTTCGCAATAGCCAAGGTGTGGAAACAGCCTACGTGTCCATCGAACAATGAATGGACGAGGAGGATTACAAATGCAGTATTACTCAGCCTTAACAAAGAAAGAAATCCTGCCTCTTGTGACAACATGGATAAACCCGGAGGACAGTATGCTAAATGAGCTAAGCCAGACACAGAAAGCTAAATGCCGTGTGACCTCACTCCCATGTGGAATGTGAAAGATTCAAACTTACCAAAGCAGAAAGTAGAATGGTCACTGGGGGCTGGGGTCGGGGGGAAGTGGGGAGAGGTTGGCCAAAGGGCACTGAGTTGCAGTTCTGAAGGGTGAATGAGTCTAAGATCTAATGTACAGCATGATGGGAAAAAAAAAAGTCAATTGATTGAAAGAGAAAACATTCAGGCAATCAGCACAGGTGTGCGCTGGGCTGCAGGGACCGCGGCCAGGGCAGCCAGGTGGTTCTGTGCGGCTCCTGGCTGCTTCCAGGGACCCCCTTTGCACCGTCCAGGGTGTGAGTGGAGGGCCTCAGACCCCACTTCCCTCCAGGCTCCTGCTCTGAGTAGGGGGAAGGCCTGCACAGGTAAGGCAGGGATGGGAAGAAGGGAGGGCGTCCGGGCACCAGACTCCTTCTGGGGCTCTGGTGGGAAAGGGACAAAGCTCAGAACTCGGGTCACTGTGCGTTCCTGGTAGGTTTAGATCTTGACCCCAGAGCTCACTGCCTCAGCTGGGGGTGAGGAGGTGTCCAGTGAAATAAGCGATGGAGGAGCTTTGTAAATGGGGCTCCTGTTCACTGAGCCGGTAGGGAGGGCTCCCTGCCTCTGGAAAGTCAGGGCTGAAATGCATACAGATTAGCTGCTTCATGGACAAGCAGGGCCCAGGGCAGCGTGAGGGGCAGCTCTCCACCAGCCCTGATGGGCACTGTCACCACTGACTGCCTAGCTGGAGGGTGGGGCTGGAAAGCTGGGGATGATTAAGTGGGGAGACAGGAGAAGACAACGTTGCCCACAAATGCCATCTGGGGAGCAGGGGGTGCCTGCCGAGTGCCCGTGGCCACAGAGGACAGCACGGGATCCTGAGTTGAAGCAGGATTGTGGGGGAAATAGAGCGAACTTTGGACCCAAATCTAGCGTGGGCGTGCCCCTTACCTCTATGGGCCTCAGTGTTCTCATCTATAAAATGGGCATAGTAACATCCCCCAGGATTTGGGTGAGGATTAAATGATTTGTGTGTTCAGGAGAATATTTTCTGATCTATTAATCTGCCCCCCACTTCTTTTGTCCTTCCTCCTCAGCCTACTGGTTCACATTCTCAGAGGTGGGCAGAAAAATTTTAGAATCTTCCTGGCTTGGGTTTCCAGAGGCTGTGTGTGTGTGGGGGGGAAGGGATGGGGACAAGAATTCCGGTGTAAACAAAATGCTTGGGAGAAAACAGAAAAGGAAGCAAGACTTCCCTCAGTCTGGGGAGACAAGGAGGGCAAGCGATGAGCAGGATACACAAGGTTCCAGCGAGAGGCATGAGTGCCCTGCTGCCCATCCAGTCCTGGATGGTGGGGTAGCCCAGAGGAGAAATGGCTATAGGGATCTTTCTAGACGAGCAGGACCACAGACAGCCTTGCAGAGCTCACACCTCCAGCGAAGCACAGAAGTCCGTTGGCCACCACTCTGTGGAGCAAAGCTGAAGACCACATGGGCTCCCCCAGATATCACAGTGCCATGTGAATCTCTGATAGCCCGGGCAAGTTGTGGGGAAGATCCAGAAAAAAACAAGGCTTAGGTTTCTCCATCCCAAGAGAGCGGAGTCAGAATTAAAGGTACAGAAAACTGAGAAAGTTCTATTTTTGCCCACTGGAGTTGATGGACAAAGATTGGTCTCCTTTACACTTG